AAAAAGTAAGTTGCCTAATTCAAACTCACAATATTGTCCCTAATTTGGCCAATTTGCGGATATCCTAAAGATGATTCAAACCATATGTGTTCACAATACAAATACTAAGATGCTCTTAAATTTGTTCTCTAGCCCTCTAATGGACAACAGTGCCAATTTTCTTACAAACTTGTCCTTTCCTTCTTATATCATTTCATGTAATGAATATTCCTTATATCCCAAGAGATAAGTCATTATAGAATGAACTGGTAAGCTCCTTAAAAATAAATTGATAAAATAAATAAAAGAGAATGTAGACCAAAGACTTAATTTAATATGATTTTAAGTTTTCTGGATTGTGATACGGAAGGTTTTGCAGCAGTACAGAAAAACAAGTACTCCCTCAGCTGAAAAGATGCTGCAAAGCCCAAGAATTTTCCTTATTCTTAAAATCCTGCTTCTCACAAAGATCACATGAGCCAGCTGCACTTCCCAAATTACAAAGGGAAACACTCTCTTATCTTTCTGAGTTTTCAGACATATGTACTGAAGGTAAGTAGCATGGCTTGCAAACGTGTCCTTCAATGATCAGGACGGGGCTGGTGAGATGGCTCAGTGGTCTAAAGCACCTACTTAGAACAAGCTTAGCAAAGCACAGGGACCACGGTTCAATCCCCCAGCACCACAGGGGGCGGGGCTGGCTTGTGGTGATGGAGGATTGAACCGCGGTCCCTATGCTTTGTCAAGCTTGTTCCAAGTAGGTGCTTTAGACCACTGAGCCATCTCACCAGCCCCCCCTCACATTGTTTAGATAGGGTTCCTGCTAGTGAGGCATCTATGTATATAAAACAAGATGGGCCGGGAAGATAGCTCATGGGCCAGAGAGATAGCGCAATGGGCTGGGGAAATAGCTCAGTAGAGTAAGTGACTGCCTGCCAAGCACAGGGTCCTGAGTTCAATTCCTGGTACTGCAAATAAAATAAAATACAATAAAATGAGGACTTACTAGCAAATCTTTTTCCACATGGCTCACATGAATATGCTTTCTCCCTTGTGAATTTTTTCCATATATAAGAATTCTTAGTAGTAAATAACTTCCCACACTGCTGGCGCAGTAAGATTTCTCCCTTGTGTGATTTGTTTCCTAACAACATTGATGCCTTTCCATATTGGTTACACACAGATTTCTATTCTGTTACTTTTATCATGTATTTTATAACAACTTATAGTGAATATTTTTCTGCTTTGGTTACCTGCCTAAGGTTTCTCCCATGTGAGTTCTTTCATGATTTTCACATAACTGCTGTGTAGTAAATGTCTTTTTTCCACAGTTTACACACCTATTCCCCAGTGTGTCTTCTTTCATGTACCTGACAAGACTGGTGTGTAATGAAAGTCTTCCCACACTTCTTGCACGCATAAGGTTTCTCTCCAGTGTGACTTGTTTCATGTCTTTTATAATAACTCTTTGTCGTGAATGTTTTTCCACATTGATTGCATGCATAAGGTTTCTCCCTAGAGTGAGTTCTTTCATGCTTTTGACAATTTTGACGTATAGTAAATGCCTTACCACAGTGCTTGCACACATAAGGTTTCTCTCCAGTGTGACTTCTTTCATGTCTTTTATAATTACTCCTTTCAGTGAATGCTTTGCCACATTCCTTGCAAACATAATGCTTCATTCCAGTGTGTATACTTTCATGTATTTGACAAGATTGGTGTGTAGTGAATGCCTTCCCACACTGCTTGCATGCATAAGGTTTCTCCCCAGTGTGAGTCCTTTCATGAATTTGACAATAATGCCGTGTAGCGAATGCCCTTCCACACTGCTTGCACACATAAGGTTTCTCCCCAGTGTGAGTTCGTTCATGCCTTTTATAATTACCCCTTTGAGTGAATGCTTTTCCACATTGCTTGCACATATAAGGCTTCTTTCCTGTGTGTGTACTTTCATGTTCTTGACAAGATTTATTTGTAGTGAATGCCTTCCCACATAGCTTGCATCCATAAGGTTTCTTTCCAGTGTGAATTCTTATATGTCTCTGACAAGACTGATATGCATTGAATGCCTTCCCGCATTGCTTGCACACATAAGGCTTCTCCCCAGTGTGAGTTCTTTCATGTATTTGACAAGACTGGTGTGTGCTGAATGCCTTTCCACATTGCTTGCACACATAAGGCTTCTTTCCAGTGTGTGTACTTTCATGTACTCGACAGGATTGATGTGTATTGAAAGCCTTACCACACTGCTTGCACACATAAGGTTTCTCCCCAGTGTGAGTTCTTTCATGTATTTGACAAGATTGGTGTGTAGTGAATGCCTTCCCACAGTGTTTGCAGATGTAAGTTTTCTCTCCGGTGTGATTTTTTTCATGTATATGACAATAAGTTTTTGTAGTGAATGCTTTCCCACATTGCTTGCACATGTAAGGTTTCATCCCAGTGTGAGTTCTTTCATGTATCTTACAAGATTGGAGTGTAATGAATGACTTTCCACATTGTTTGCACAAGAAAGGTTTCTCCCCAGTGTGTGTATTTTCATGTACTTGACAAGACTGATGTGTAGTGAATGCTTTCCCACACTGCTTGCACACATAAGGTTTCTCCCCAGTATGAGTTCTTTCATGCACCTGACAAGATTGGTGTGTAAGGAATGCCTTCCCACAGTGTTTGCATACATAAGTTTTCTCCCCTGTGTGAATTTTTTCATGTATGTTAGAATAAGTCTTTGTAGTAAATGCCTTGCCACAGTGTTTGCACACATAAGGTTTCTCCCGCGTGTGATTTCTTTCATGTATTTTGCAATAACTGTGTCTGGTAAAAGCTTTCCCACATTGTTTACATACATAAGGTTTCTCTCCTTTACTAGTACTTTCATGTCTCTGATATTGAGTGTATCTGCTGAACAACTTCCCTCTTTGCTTATGTATATAGGGTTTCATCCCAGTGTGATTTCTTTCATGTCTTTGACAGGAACTGTGTGTATGGAATGCTTTTCCACATTGCTTACTGTCATAGGGCTTCTCCTCCATGTGAATCCTTTCCAGAATTTTACAAGTTTGAGTGTTGAGGGCTTTTCCATATTGTTTGAATACATTTGATTTCTTTCCAGTATGATTTTTCTCATGGATTTGAAAACTGCTGGGGGTCTTAGAGTCTTTCACATTTTTCTGGCCAACAATCATCTTCTCTCCAAGGTGAGTTATTTCACTGAGTTCAGGGGATGTTTTCCCACATTGTTCATATTGAGAGGGTTTCTCTTGAGTCATTGTCCTTGCATGCTTCCGAAAGGCCTGGAAAGCACTGCAGGTTTCCCCCTGTTTATGTGGCTTTTCTCCTGGGTGAGGTAAGATGAGATCATTTAACGGTAGGTGCCTCATCAGGGGCTCTCTACAAAGAAGACTTCCAGCTGTCTTTAATGCAGCCTGTCTTATGTCCACATTAGTATCTGAAGTCTGAAGGAATACATTTTCATGTTGGTTACATGTTTTATATTGGTAACATTTTGCTCTCTCTTCCATTCTGTAAAGCAACAAAATACCAATCACAATAAAATAGTCCCCCTATCAATAACTTATCAGGACAAATTCTGGCATGACACCTGCTATGAAATTTTCAGAATTAATAGACAAAAAGAGCTGAAGATGCTTCCAAAATGACCATTTACCAAATGATTGTATCCATTTGGGAGTTTTAAATTGGTATATATTTGTAATACATAAAGTCGAGTGTTATTTAAATCACTGACACATATAAGTATCATACATTGATCATTTTGACACCTTTTCCATCACTCTTACCCTCCAACACTTAATTGAACCCCTAATTTATGTTTTAGTATATCTTTTGCGTTCTTTGTCAGACTTATTTAACATTTGTGGCAGAGGACCATATTTTATTTTTTGCCAGAAGACATAACAGTCTTATTCTGTGGGGGCTGAATATATAGAGCACTTTTTTTTTCAATGCTCAAAACTAAAGAAGGTTCTGAGCAATAAAATACATTTCTAGTATTTTTAAAAATTTCTTCTTTTAAAAGAAGAAATCCCAGGGCTGGGGAGATGGCTCAGTGGAGTAAGCACTTCCCTGGCAAGTGCAAGGGTCTGAGTTCAATCCCTGATTCCGCCAAAAAAATAAAAAAAAAAATAATAATAATAAAAGAAGAAATCCCTATGAGAGGGATTCTCATAGATCATTAATTTGCAAAGGGTTAACTTCATGTAGTCACCCTGCTGGCTCAGCTTACCAGAGTGCTGGGATTATAAGAAGGCTCCACCACATACAGTCTACCACACAATCTCCTTTTCCATGCAAACAATGATTGACAACTAGGCTGCTACCAGGGCTTAGATATTGCGAATTATTTCCAAAACTTAGCTACTGTGAATACTCATGCATATCTTGCTTTGATCATAAGGACATATGTAACACCAACATCATAATTTTAAATCCTTTCAGAATATACATACGAGGTTTTGCCTGGATCAAATGTGAGCACTTACTTTTACTTTTTGAGGCATCTGTAGTTTGAATATTGAACTGGGTTTGTTTGATATCCGTATCAATGATGTATGAGAATGCATGGTAAGAACTCTAAAACATGAATGTACACACCTGTCTGGAAGGGTCTATCTCTTAATGCACTAGCATTCATGTGGATCTTTTAGGTTGCTTCCAGGTTAGCAATTTTTTAGATAATGCATATTTCATATTCATATA